AGACAATACATCAAGATTGATTGAATTTGTCTTAATCATGACGACGGCATTAAAAAATCAGCAAATGTATGATCACCATGGAGACGTTTGGGTTAAAATTGTTGCATCATGATTAATGCGCGTATTTTTAAAATTATTTATAATATTATTTTCAATTTATTTAAAATTTGAATTATATATTTATTTATTTTTATAAAACATATTATTACTATAAAAATTATGTACTATAAAACATTTGTATTTTGATACACTAAATACCCCACCTGCTTTAAACTTTGATGTGATAAATAAAGAGATATTCTAGGTGTTACCTAAAAATATAGTTTTCTTAATTTTGACTGGTTTAACCTTGTAGAATGGTTGAGACACGTTCTGGAAAGATACAAGACGCGTCTGAGGAGAGAATCAAGAATGAAGAATCTGCCAAACCGCAGCCTGGTGCAGTAATAGACGCCATTGTAAGGATGGTTAGAAAATAAATTGGGAATTGTTTAATTCTAATAAAATATTTAACGGGCAAATAATGGGCAACGATACTAATGTATTTTTGCTTATAACTGACCTATTTTCTAATATCGCATTGACACAGTTATTGAGGAGGGCACTGAATTATGGGCTAATTTGCGGAGTATGATTACGTGTTGGTGATGATGGGAGCATTATCTTCGTTGTCGTGGATGGTTCTAATTTGGTATCAATCTTTGGGATGGTGTCAGGAGTAGAAATGTATCTGGCTGCTAAGATTGGTTCGTCATTATCCAAGAAAATATCGGAGTTCATGTGATTAAATGGGTTACTTAATGTAGATGCATAATTCTTATAATCATCATGAAATATTTCAGGTGGGCAATTATGGTAAATAAAATATGATTTTGGCGCGCTATTGTTGTCGTTGAGTGAAGTGTGAAGATGTACTTAGTATCTTCGGAATAGTGTTTCAATTTGTTTACCTGAATAATTTCCGTGTCTAAGTTTTGGGCTTGACTAGGTCTATTGATTCTAACTGTATAGGGGGATATATCACCCAAATTATCTCATATGGTCCACTGAAGTAAGGCACTAATTTGCCCGTATTGGGGGTGTTGGTAAATTTTGCTAAGGACTAGATCGCCTACTTTGGATTGGAGCATAGTCCAACTAGCTCTAGGATGTTGGAGATGAAGGAACCTAAGTTTTCCGGTCAGGGTTGCGTTCAACGTTCAGATAAACCGTTTGCTTGTGGATGGTTGCTGGTAGTCAGAATTGTTTGGATGTTAGGGGAGATTAGAAATCTCTTAAACCTCGTTGATGTAAAAGCAGGGGCTGTAAAAGTAAGGAGACGCCTCTGACAACCACTTTGTAGCACCCTTTTTATTACTTGAATATATGTGGTCGTACTGGTGGAACAGATGAAAATGCGAATCGAGTCGCGTGGTATACTATTACATGCAGGAAATATTTTGCACTCCCATATCTAGCAAACCCGGCTATAATGTCCATAGAGACCGGATTGAATGGCAATGGGGATTCTGGCAATTTGCCCAACTCTCCATACTTCGGTACTTTTGGGGTTTTGCTCATTTGACAGATGTTACAATTCTTAACAAAGTCACGAATGTCTATCGACATTCCGCTCCGAAAGTATTGGGCGGAGATGATCCTAGTCAATTGAGAAATTCCTGGATGGTTGAATTTCTGTTGGGCTTCTCTAAGTATGGTGGATCGTAAGGATGGCGGAACAACATCATTTGCTCACACCACGTCTGGTGACGGTAGACAGGCCTGAGTGCGGCTATAATATTGTACTGGATATGAGTTTCCATCTGGAGAGAGAGAGAGATGGAGCTGTTTCAGTACTCCTCATATCCCTTGCAAAGATGCATCAGAGTACACTTGATAGGGGAAATCTGATTTATAAAGATGGAGAATAGGACCTGATGAAAGTAGTTGTTCGAGTTTTTCAAACGCCTTCTGACAGAGAGACGTCCATTCCCATTTAACATTATTTTTTAAAAGTTGATTTAGAGGATTTCTAATGCGCACAATCTGGAATAAATTTGTTGTAAATATTAATGGCGCCTAGGAATGATTTCAAGGTTTTTTACGTTAGTAGGGGGTTTTATGGCATTAAATGTGGAGTGCAGGTACCTGAACTAATCTTTTACCACAGTTAGTCAAAATATGTCCTGAAAAACTGGCATTTATTAAGATTTAATTTTATATTTTCTAATTTACAAAAATGAAAATATTCCTGTAAGTGTCCAAAGTGTTCCTCTAAACTGTTAGAATGTATTATGATGTCATCAAAATAATGATTAGCAAATGTTAATTTCTGTTTCTCTATCAATTGATTTAACTGCCTTTCGAATATTTGGAGACAATTTGAGACCAAATGGTAGTCTATTAGAATGGTATTGCCCCAGGTGGGTTACAAATGAAAGCAGGGGTCTAGATTCGGGATGGATCGGAATTTGTCAGAAGGCGGATGTTATATCTATGGCGGAAAAGTATTTGTAATTAAATAATTGATCTAGTACTGTTTCTATTAATGTTATGGTATAATTATCTACAGACATGAATTCGTTAAGTTTTCTGATATCTACACAAAAACGTTTCGAGTCATCTCTTTTTCTAGCAAGTTTTACGGGAGCGGCATATGGGCTATTCGATGGTTCTATTATTTCATTTTCTAACATTCTCTCTATTTGATATTTTATTTCAGGGTAATCGCTATATGGTATTCTATATGGTCTTAGTGTTATAATCTTATCACTTTCAGGTATAATTTTAACCAGGTCTATATTTAAAGTAGGTACTGAAATCTTATCCATAGGAAATAAACCAATATTTTTCTAATTAGATTTTTACATTCATTTATTAGATGAGAATGTGCAACTATATAATTTTCTACATTTGTGGTACTATTAAGGTTGTCATGAGGAAAAGATTGAGTAGTGTGTGGCATGGTATGGTTATTAGGGTCGGGTTGAATTGTAAAGGTTTTTTAATGATGTGGCGTAAAATAATCTTTAAAACAATATTGTGACTGTGCTAACATGATATTTTCCTGATATATTCGTTTTGAAAATATTCAATAGTTAATCGAAATATCCCCAATGAATTTAAAGAAATAATGCCAAATGGTAGATCATTATCTATTATATAAAATAGCAAGTGTTCCTTAATGGATCCTACAGTGACCAAAACAAATGCAAATCCCACAGGCTGGATATTATGAGACAAATTCCTGATAGTAACATCATTATTTGAAGGTAACATTTTAGTTACTAATGTTTTGAATTGTTTTAAACAAATAATATTATTGTTAGCGCCAGTATCTATTAGAAATGAACATAAATGGTTGACTGGTAGCAATTTGAGAGTCAGGGTACTTACGCCGTTAATGGCGTGTGGGTTGTACTTCTGGTTACTCGGCAGCGCGGTCTCTTGGGTCACGAAAATACCGCGGCGGTGTCGATAGTCGAGGATGATTGGCACGCTGTCCAGGCAAGGTTGACCGTGTGGGCACTGAATTATTACAGTGGGACCCTTGGCAGTGCTTGCATGGTGTAGGCGAGGTAAAGGGAGACTTTCCGGTTAGCTACTGGGTATGAGGCACATTTTCGGATGAGCGCGTTAACGGATTGATTGTTTATCTCTCGGATTGGCTCGAAATTGAGCGTTCTGTGGGAGAGGAAATGCCGGGGCGACTCGTGTCTCAGCCGATTCCATAGATTCTCCTGGCCAGAGTGAACCATTCCGACGGGCTGCTGGGTGTTGCAATCAGTAGGTGATTGCGACTGTAGGAGGGTATTCCTTGAGTGAGAGCATTGACCATTTCCTTGCGGTCGATGTTGAGCTGCGTACCCTATGCGTACCTTCTTTTTTTTAGTATTCTTGTAAGCCTTGAGGCCCGCAACGTAGTAGATAGAACTCTCGGTGGGTCGGTGTCTCGGGTGGGGGGTACAGATCCTCAAGGACCTGTTTGATCATCCAATAGGGTTCGTGGATGTAGACCATGGATTGGAGTGCCCTCCGGGGCTCTCCCTCTAACGCTTTGCCACTACCATGCGGACTTGTTCATCACAGCTACTGTTTTGGAATTCCGGGGACCTCTCCAGTTCCCTTAAGAACGACTCCGCGGAACTTGATCCGTCAAATCTGGCTGCGGTGGTGGGCGCGTCCCGCCCTAGTCTTCTCATCATCGCTGTTAGTGCATCAATCACCGACTTCTTCTCTTGAGCTAACTCGGCCTCTTTCTCGCCTGCTTGTCTCTTTGCCTTGCCCATTCTCTTGGGGTCCTTAATTCTGTCGACTCTTACTTGTCGTATCCGTCGTCGTCGAATGCAAGGGCGCGACCGTTGTACATGCATGCTTCGAAAAAAAACTTGTTCCATACTCGAGAGCGCGCGCGCAAGCGGCGGCGGCCGCCGTAGCCTTCGCCCGCGCGCGCTGGCACGCACGTTTATTTTGTATAGATTTATATATGGATTAATTTGTATTTACATTTTAACATTCTAATTATGGTGAAAGGGAATTATACATATTGGTTATTATACAAATTATGACATATATATTAATTTGGATTCTTCATATAAAACCTATTTATTTATAAAATATCTACCTTTTTAATTAAACAGCTATCCCTGTGATTTTGAATAAATATATGCTTCTATCTTTTATCATATGAGCAATAAGAATCAAGTTTTAAAATTAGAGAGAAAGATGATTACACAAGAAGGCATACCAAAACAACAACCATTAGTCATATAGTGACACAATCGCGTTGTTATACAGGAAAATCAGCGTTGAAGCTGCATCGCACGCCATCTTCTTTTTTTTTTTTTTTTGCTTATCCCTATTACACGTGATACAGGCCATTATAATCATGGTGGGTAGAAGAAGGCGACTGCTTTTACTGTGCACCACATGTCTACACATTTGAAAAGCAGTTCGACTTTGCACTTACAAATGTACCAGAGCCCCATTTGGTTACTTGCACTCGCTGGTGGGGGAAAACCCGTCCGCGGGTGGACTCGATCCACCAACCTTAAGGTTAACAGCCGAACGCGCTAGTCGATTGCGCCATCTTCATGACGTCAATAAACAAGGTTCATGTGAGCAAGAATTATATCTAATTTTGTATCATATAAGTACCCCAGATATATTTATCAGTATACACATCACATATCATCTTCATTTTCATTGCGGACCAAAACTTTGAAAATTTGAATAGCGTCGAAATATACCTATAAATATTCTATAGACACGTTTTAATCTTCATGATTCAATTGTTGCTACTTGTAATGTTCGTATTGCATTTTAAAAATAAAACCTCATTCAATATTTTTATTAGGAGATTAATAAACCATATTGGGTGAAATATAACTAAGTCTTGTTTGAAAAAGGAAGAACAAAATTCAGGTAAAGAGTTTCTTTCAATATTGTACATATAATTAGTATTTGCCCGTTGAAATTCTTTTCCTCAATTTTATTATTTATTTTTAAGCAAGATTCAGTGTATTCTCACCCAATACTGTTTTTTTTTTATATCTCCTAAAAAATATTAAAAGAAGTTTTATTTTTAAAATGCATTATGCACATTTCAAGTAGCAGCAATTAAATCATGAGGATTAATACGTTTCGATAGAATATTTATAGATATCTTTCGACCCTGTTCAATTTTCCAAGTTTTAGAAACGCAATGAAAATGAAGGAGATATGTGATGTTTATACTTGTGCTGAGAACATGTAAGAAAACATCTACCTATGTTTTCCCACGTGACGCAGCGGAGCGTGACCTTGGCTGCACGGGTGAGTCAGTTGTTATTTTGTACTCTGGATAGATGGACATTAAAACATGGTGGCAGCGATAGCTGGATAAAATACGAACCCGTATATTGCAAAATATCGATTTTTGCGTACCTTGGAAGATAATTCAACATGGCTCAGATTCAACCTCCAGAAACTTTCGACTTCTCGACTCCCAACGAATGGCCCAAATGGAGGAGGAGATTCGAACGATACCTCGTGGTCAGTGGAATGAAGAAGAAAGAGGAGGCGGACAAGATCGATTTGTTCATGTACTTGATGGGTGACCGCGCGGATGATATATTCAGGACCTTCAAGTTCGAAAAGGAGGAAGAGGCAACGAAAATTGATTCCGTCCTCAAGGCGTTCGACAGCCACTTCTGTGTCAGAAAGAATATTATCTACGAACGTGCGAAATTTAATTCAAGAATCCAAGAGGATCGGGAGCCAGTGGACGAATTCATCACTTCATTGTACAAATTGGCTGATAGTTGCGAATTTGAGGGTCTTCATGAGCAGTTGATCCGTGACCGAATAGTGGTTGGAGTGAGGGACAAAGCTTTATCTGAAAGAATGCAGTTGGACAGCGAACTGACTTTGGAAAAGGCGGTGAAAATGGTTCGACAGCAGGAAGCCGTTCGACAGCAGCAAGTCGACCTGCAGCGTCCCTCAACAAGCCAAAAGGTCAATCAGGTGAAGTTCAACTCGAAGAAACAATCACCGAAACAACAACAGCAGCCTTCGGAGAAGAAGGAGAAGTCAGCCAAAACAAGATCACGATGTCCAAAATGCGGAGGTTTCACCCACAGGGAAGGACAGGCTTGCCGTGCTGAAGGACAAAAATGTAACCTGTGTTCAAAAACAGGCCATTTTGCAAATTGCTGCCCAGATAAGCAGGCGAAGACTGCGGAAGTCAAAGCTGTGTCTGAACTTGATGAAGAAATTGGTTTTCTCCTGGAGGTCTCAGCTGTGGAGGATTCATCTAATCTCGATGATGATGAAGGCGAGTGCAGGAGGCGATGGACAGCAGAAATCCAAGTGAACGGGAAACAGGTGAAGTTTAAGCTCGACTCCCAGGCGGATGTTACATGTGTTCCTCTGTGTCTCTTCAAGAAGATAATGGGACAGCAACGACTAGTGGAAAGTGATATCAACATTAGAGCTGCTGAATTCTCCGAACTTCAGACTGTGGGTATGTTTTTAGCAACGCTGCGAAATGGCAATTATGAAATCAAGGAGAAGATTTATGTCATTCGTCGTTTGAGTGAACCTCTTCTGAGTCGCCGGGCATGTGAGCTCTTGAACCTGGCGAGGCGGATTGAAGTGGTTGCGACGAGAATTAACCCGATCAAGGAATTCCCCGAAGTATTTGAAGGACTGGGACAGATCGGAAACCCTTACGAAATCAAATTGAAACCTGGAGCAAAACCATATGCTGTGCATACTCCTCGACGGGTACCAATACCTTTGATGGAAAAGCTCAAAACAAGATTGGAAGAGCTCGAGAAGGCGGGAATCATAGCACAAGTTAACGTTGCGACTGAATGGTGTGCACCGACTGTGATTGCTGGTAAACCGAATGGCGACATACGACTCTGTGTGGATCTCTCAAGGCTGAACGAACATGTACAGCGCGAAGTGCATCCCATGCCAGTGGTGGAGCACATTCTGGGGCAACTGGGGGAAGCAAGATTCTTTTCGAAACTGGACGCGAACAGTGGCTTTCACCAGATTCCGTTGAGCCCGGACTGCCAGCATTTAACGACCTTCATCACTCCTTTTGGGAGATATAAATACTGCAGGATGCCATTTGGAATCTCACTCGCCCCAGAGTATTTTCAGAGAGTTATGTCAATAATCTTGCAGGGCATGGACGGTGTAATGTGTTACCTGGACGATATCCTGATATTTGTCTCCGACTCCAAGACTCACGATCGAATTCTTCGTTTAGTGCTCCGAAAACTGAAAGAGGCGAAAGTTACACTAAACAAGGCCAAGTGTGTCTTCGGCGTGCCAAGAATTAATTTTCTTGGGCACATACTGGATGAAGACGGTATTCGACCAGATCCAGCGAAAATCGAAGCAGTGGCGAGGATGCCTGCTCCGACAGATGTTCATGGCGTAAGAAGATTTCTTGGCATGGTGAACCATCTGGGACGCTTTGTGGAAAATTTATCTGAAATTGTGGCTCCACTGAACCAGTTGTTGGTGAAAGGTCAAGACTTCGTTTGGGATTGCAGCCAGGAGCGAGCATTCCGAAAGTTGAAAGAATTGCTCACGACTCAACCCATCTTGGCAGCATACGACGTCAGGAAACCAACTATGGTGTCATCCGACGCATCTTCATACGGCTTGGGAGCGGTACTGAAGCAAGAAGGTAAGAATGGAATCTGGCGACCTGTTGCTTATTCTTCTAGAACTATGACACCTACCGAAAAACGATATGCTCAGATCGAGAAAGAGGCTCTCGCAATTACATGGGCTTGCGAACGTTTTCAAGATTTCCTGCTTGGAAAGCGTTTCCGAATTGAGACCGACCATAAGCCTCTCATTCCTCTATTTTCGACGAAAGAATTGAGTTCGCTGACCCCAAGACTGCAACGTTTCCGAATGCGTATGATGAGGTTTGGATTCGAAATAGTGCATATCCCTGGAAAGGAGCTGCTCGACGCCGATGCATTATCCAGACAACCACTTCTTACAACCGAGGGAGGTGAAGACGAACGGCCAACCTCAGCGCATATAAATGCAGTTCTCTCGAGTATAACTGACAAAGACGAGATGTTGACGAAGATTTTTGAAGCTCAACAAGAAGATACGACCCTGAAAGCAGTAGTCAACTACCTTGAGCAAGGCTGGCCAGATAAGAAGAAGATGTCACAGGCTCTGCTCTCTTATTGGCATGTCAAGGATGAACTCGGCGTTCAAAATGGACTACTGATGCGTAGCTGTCGTCTTGTTATTCCAGCAAGTATGAAACTGGAGATCCTAGATAAGTTGCACGCTGGGCACTTCGGGATTACAAAAACAAGACTTCGCGCACGTGAGACGGTATGGTGGCCTGGAATTTCGGAAGAGATCGCGGAAACGGTCAGAAAGTGCAGTGTCTGTATCCAGGAAGCCGTCTCAAAACATGAACCTTTGATACCAACCAACTTTCCTACACGACCGTGGCAAAATATTGGAATGGATTTGTTCAAGTTCGAGAATAAGTGGTATCTAGTCGTCATTGACTATTATTCTCGCTTTCCTGAAATGGTTCAGCTGGATCGGCTCACAGCCAGTGTGGTGGTGCGTAGTTGCAAATCCATATTTGCCCGACATGGAATACCAGAAACTGTTGTAAGCGATAATGGGACGCAATTTGGAGCTGCTCGTGAATTTGCAAATTTCGCAAGGCAGTACGGATTCCAACATGTCACTTCAAGTCCTCGATTCCCACAGAGCAATGGGATGGCAGAAGCAGGTGTGAAAATTGCTAAGTTGATCCTCAAGAAAAATCAAGACCCATCGCTTGGACTCCTGGAGTATCGATCGACCCCTTTGGAGAACGGTTACAGCCCTGCTGAGCTTCTCATGGGACGTAAACTCCGAACGACCTTGCCAATTGCACCAGAGAATCTTAATCCAAGGTTGGTGGACTCTCAGACCCTGAAAAGAAAGGAGGGGAGAAGGAGAAAGGATATGAAATCCAGATATGATCGACGCTGCGGAGCTACGGACATGGAGGAGCTATCCGAAGGTGACACGGTTTGGATTACAGATATGCGAACCTGGGGGATTGTAAAGAAGAAAGCATCGAAACCAAGGTCGTATATGGTTGATACTCCAGTTGGGACTTTACGTCGAAACAGGTTCCATCTACGAAAAGGATATGCAGTGCAATATCCAGCCGACCCATCGACGCCGACCTTTTCGGGGGAGGAACTAGTTGAAAATGAAAAGACCCCAGTTGTGGATTATCCCTCTAACGACTCAGAAGACGGCCAGATAAGAACCCGGAGTGAACGAATTGTTAAACCTGTGGATCGCCTTCATTATTAATTATATTATGCATTTAAAGTTTGTAATGTATATATATATTTCAAGTCTTAAAAAGGGGGATGTGCTGAGAACATGTAAGAAAACATCTACCTATGTTTTCCCACGTGACGCAGCGGAGCGTGACCTTGGCTGCACGGGTGAGTCAGTTTTTATTTTGTACTCTGGATAGATGGACATTAAAACAATACTGATAAATATATCTCGGGTTATAATACAAGATTAGATACAATTCTAATGTAAGTT